ATAATTGCTTAGTGTGTCTCACAGTGTGACCTTTCTGTACTGTGTCATTCATTCATATCAGTGCAGGTCAAGCAATCTCAGTTCTATGCCCGCAGCCCGCAGCCCACAGGCAGATTGTCTTTAACCTTTTTATTTTACCTGTACTGCATGTGAGATAATTATGAAGGTTGTTAATATTTACCTTGTGAAATATGAATGTCACTGTGGAGTATTATTTAGATCATATATTAAGTGGTTGGTATATCTAAACTGTCATCTAGTGTCCCAGCTACTCTAGATCCACAGAACACACTGTCAGCCTTTCATTGGGACTATTTCTTTGTTTGATCTGTATCTGGATAATGACATCTGATCACAGGCCTTTGCATTTACATCTGATATTAATGACTTTCTCATTATTTCCCTTCTGCCCACATTGTCATCAGATTTCTATATTCAAATTAGGTAGGTGGAGTCGATCACGTTAACAAACATGGTGAGTCTCAGGTCAGGGGACAATGATGCAGGATGCTGTCAAGGTACCTCTACAAAGTACAAGGTGAGGGAGATGACAGACAGAGACAGGGGAGGATATCTGGTAGGCCAGAATACCTTTAGATGTGGTCTGGTAGCATTCTGATTGCGATGTGTTCTGTGTGCATTTACACCAGTGTTAAAATTGGCTTTTCCTCCTATGAAAAAGACATCCAAATACAGATAACATGCTTATATTTCCAGTGAAAACTGTTACTGTACAGTAAGGTACGTGAAATATCCAGAGTAACATGGAATTTGTTTTTTTTAAATCATTGCTTTAAGCATCTATTTACTATTCACCGCCATTGGATTGTTGTGGCCGAAATCTATGAGACAGATATCTCAGAACCTCGTCAAATAAAACCCTATAAGTAAATTCTTTTTGCTGTTGAGTAACTAGGTCTATATATTGGTCTGTCTGCCAACTTCGTCAATCGGCTTCACAATAATTTGGGTGTGTCATCAGCAGTGTCGGGTAGTTATTGAAAAATAGTCATTAGAAGAAGACCCATATGAATGTAAACATTAACAACAAGCTTTGCTACAGTAGGGTAGTTAGTTAATAAATAATTATATAATGAATCGACTGAACTGTTTTGGGCCATCGTAAGGTCAGGGGATGTTGCATTATAAACCGAAAACCAGTCCATTGCAATTCTTCCCGTAGCCACTTCCACTCCACGTGTTCAGGGCTATAACAATCTATACAAATTTCAAAATGTTAATCTACAGTTTTATGTTTATGCAAGTTTATCCATAAAAGCCTTAATCTACAGCTTTGCAGCCCTGCAAGCTTACATCAGGACATAGATTCACAAAGTCTGCCCCAGTCCTCAGTCCCCTCAGCCATACTCTCACTTCCCCAGCCAAATTAAAAAACACTAGCCAATCACAGGCGGGTCACAGTCTTCGCAGACTGCTGGTGGGGGGAAAAGAATCAAGCGTTACACAGTTGTTTATGGGTGCGTACCTAGATTCACCAGGAGGTGGCGATACCCAATCAAAACAAAGGGTGCTCATGTGAACAAAAATCTGGTACTCAGGCATCCTGTATCCATTCTTTAACCCCTAACTGTACCTGTCTACTTGAAAGCTTATGAATCTTCACTTCATCAATAAATCCCTGAACCGTTGTCTGTCTGCAATTGGGTCCTTCCCTTCTTGCCCTGCACTCTGACCCATGGTTTACATGTCATTTAAACTCAGCAGTGAGTTTGCCATACTCCAAATAATTTTTTAGTTTATCAGAAAAAAAAAACAAAAAACAAAAAACAATGCAGGCAGCAGCAGGACATAGACGGGGTCTGGGATGCCAGCATGAGGGAATTCCTACACTGGCCCCTCTGCCACTCTGTTCTGCCTCAGTGGCCTGTGCATCTGGCAAGAAGGTGAAGTGCTTTCACCACAAAATGAAGTCTTAATAAAATGGTGCAGCTAACAGCTGGTTATGGTAACGGGGGGTGAAAGCCATCAGAAAGAACCTCTTTGTTTTCTTAGAGTTCGGCACAAGGCGGCCGAACGTCACACAGCTGACCCCTGATAGCGGCTTGTCTCCTGGACCGACAAATAAGATAAAGAGTCCCTTGAGAAAGCCATGTGGAAACTGGCCAACGGCAGCCCTGGAATGCTTCCTCGTTTCCTGGAGGACAAATATGTTTCATTCATCTAGCAACAATAGCATACAGGCCTGAGTGTGTCTGAAATGAGGCAATCCCAAATCATTTTCTCAACAGTAAAAAAAGGTTGAATATGTACTTGTGGATTTATTTTGCCTTTAATTGATGGGACAGCTAAAGATAGACAGAAAAGGGGAGGGGGAGAGAGAGAGAGAGGG